CTTACAAAATTCTGAGACTTGACCAAAGACCTTGGGTACCACCAAATTGCTTGTCTATGCCAGTAGTATCAGATGGTGTCAGTATCATGTCTTCGATTTTTCCATGACAATCTTAGAAAAGATACCTAGGAAGTTCAAGACTACCGAAAATGTGATCAAAATCTCAAACATCGAAGTGCACCATATTAACTCTAGGGGCAAACAGGCTCCCACATGTGAAAGGTCACGTGTGATCAAACAATTAATTTCTGGAATTTCTACAACACTTACTACCGTAGACAGTGAAAATTATCCACACCCTATGAACATGGACATAGTCAGAAAATACTACACATGAAAAGAGACCCGCTAGGTTGATATACCTAGGCAAAATAAGGGCATCCCGAAGAACCAAGAGGTTTGGGAAAAAGTAGGGATATATTGAAAAGGTTGTACACCCGGCAAGTCGAAAACCCAAAAAGGCGGCTTGGGAAAAAAGGGTATCCCGTTGGACTGAAAATCTGAAAATATGGTCCAGGAAAAAGTTAGGGATTAAAGCGTATGACTATGTCCCTTTATCTCATCAGTATATCTATCAGTAAAAGATTTGTCACTATAATAGAATTTAATCTGTCTACAAATCCCCACAAGGATAATTTCATGGATGTCCCCACAGTGTTACATTAATCACATTATCCACGCAAATTTGGATTCATGAAATCCTCAGCCAGAGTTTCAATCTCTGGAAAACCCTCTCCTCAACTGAGTTGGTCTAAAAGAAGAAGTCTTATGGAGTTCCTTTCTAGAGAATACCTCTCTTATAGATCGTCAAATATTCTCTTCAACAGGGTTTATTTCCTCAACAAAACATCAAACTCCCTAGTTTGAGTTTGCCTCTCAGACTACTACAAATAAACAGACAAGACCCCTTAACCTCCGGTTAAGTCATTACCATCCTCAACGGAGTCGTTACTATCCCTGAAAGTTACTGTGAAGCCTGGAAATCGACCAGATAACAGTTGACCCCATTTCTCCAAGCACAGTTACTACAAATCTTGGACCCGACCAGATACTAGTTCAACTTTATCTCTTTCAAAGCAAGTTACTATGAAGCCTGGATCCGACCAGATAACAATTAACTTCATCCTTTCATCTAAGTTACTACGAAACCTGGACCCGACCAGATACCAGTTAACCTCAAGTTTAAATTGCTGAAACCTGGACCCGACCAAATACCAGTTAACCTCAAGTTCAAATTGCTGAAGCCTGGACCCGACCAGTTTACAGTTCAAATTGCTGAAGCCTGGACACAACCAGATAACAGTTCCAGTTGCTGAAACCTAGACCCGACCAGATACCAGTTAACCCCAGTTCAAATTACTGAAGCCTAGACCCGACCAGATAAGAGTTTAATTCTTATAAAATCACTAACAAAAATCCTCTTCCTCAGTAGAGTTTGCCATTATCCCTAGTAATTTGTTGTAAAGCCTAGAATCCGACCAGATAATAGTTAACTTCTTTATCCCCAGCAAGTTGTTGTGAAGCCTGGAATCCGACCAGATAATAGCCAAACTTTCTTCCTCTCCAATCAAGAGATAGCTCCCCAGTAGAGCAATGGACAACTAAAACTCCTGAATTCTAGTTCCCAAGAAGAAATCAACATTATTCACAAAGTTTTCTCAAGCCAAAGTCAATATTCCCCATAGGAGTTCTCCTTAACAAAACAGCAATCCCCAGCAGAAGCATTCTAAGCAAAGATCCAAGATACACATACTCCTTGTCTCCAACAACAAGTCTGGGATTTAACTTCTCGAAATTCCCCAGTATATGACAAAGATACACTTCAACAACGTTTCGCATTCATACATCATACAACATACATAACAATTGCATACAATACAATTTCATTTATTTTTTAGAACATCATTTGCGACATGCATTCATCTGCCTGCAACCAACTCTTTTCCTTGCAGGAATAGTCAATCAACAAATCAAAAGTCCTCTTTTGGATGGATTCACTTCTTCCAGTTAATAATAGGCGATCAATCAAGTCCTCTTCTGGATGGATTCACTTCTTCTAGTTAATAATAGGCGATCAAACAAGTCCTCTTCTGGATGAATTCACTTCTTCTAGTTAATAATAGGCAATCAATGAAGTCCTCTTCTGAGTGGATTCACTTCTTCAAGTTAATAATAGGCAATCGACAGTCCTCTTCTGGTTTAGATTGATTTCTTCCAGTTAAAGACAAGCGAACGAAGACCTCTTTTGGTTTTGATTTATTTCTTCTAGTTAAAGATAGAAGAACAAAGACCTCTTCTGGTTTAGATTTACTTCTTCCAGTTAAAGACATGCAAATGGGTCAGAGATTAATTCCTGAAGCAAGCCGGGGCAACTATCTCAACGACAAAAAAAAACGGGTTCCAGATTAATACCTGAAACAAGACAGGATAACTATATGTGGACAACTTATTATAGATTAATACTAGAACCAAGACAGGACAACTATCTACATGAGCAGATTGAAGATTAACTCTTGAAACAGAATGGGGGAAACTATCTTTCTTTCTCTTTGGTTGGATAAAGATCAATTCCTAAAACAGGGCAGGGTGACTATATTTATCACCAATGGTATGTGTAATACGGCGGGAGAACTAACTTGGGTGTTTTGCGTTTGATCGCAATTGTTGCGGATAGCAAGAGTCGCCACCGACTTTTCTTTTATCCAATAAGGAAAGGTTGAAAAGAACAGGAAAGATCTTTAGAGATGTTTTTTTGAGTTTGGGGGTAGATTATGAAAAGGGAAGGTATTAGCACCCTTTTCACCCGTAGTTATCTACGGGCTCTTAGTTGCTTGCTAGATCACTTGCTTTTTTGTTTGAAAGTGTGTTTGTGATGTGGGTTTTGAAATTATTTTGAAAAAGAATGTCTTTGTAATGATTTTCGTCTCTATAAGAACGCATACAAAGTGTTTTGTTTTTTTGAAAAAAGTTTCAAAGTGAAGTGTTGGTGTATAAAATATTTTTGTTGTGAGCAAGCGAGAAACTAGGAGCAACCTACCTACTCAAAAGGTCTTAAATTTTATTTTCCTCCTCCTTTAGATGTTGTTATCTTACCATTGATTTGGTAAGAAGCCCCATTATTGGATGTGAAAGGACAAGCGCGAGTCAATCGTACAGTCATAGAAGGTAACTTGTGAGACGCTTTAGCAATCTTTCATAAGGGACTAGATCGTTTTATCAAAGGCAACATCGAGGGACATCGAGGGACTACGATCTTTTTTATCGAATGGTCTTTGCTAAAGTTTCCCATATTCGAGGGACATGATTGTGTTTCTGAGGCAACAAGCGAGTTTACCCTAGAGGTGTGCGTGTGAAAGTGCATTTGATTTACATACATTTAGTATTGATTAAGGTTATCTATTTGTTGATTTCATGTCTTGCCATACACGCCTAATTACTATACAGTATAAAGAAAAATAGTAAATTGCGGAAATTAAAATTCTATGCTATTACAAAGTTTTCGGGGATGGGGAATAAGTTTACAAATGGGGATGGATCAATGCAATTAAAAGTCAAAAATAGGCAATCAATACAACCAAATTGAATCGAATAATTAATTAAAACTACAACAATTAATTAACAAAATATGGAAATAAAAAAAAACTTAGTACTTTTGTTTGTGAGGAAAAATAGAAGAGAAAATAAAAATCTATTCTATATTTTTTTAGAATTTTAGTTTATTATGAAAAAAATAAATCAATTAAAAGAAATAAATTAAACGATATTAATTATAGAATAAAATAACTAATTAAGCCTTATTTGTTTTTTAGAGAAATTTATTATAAAAGAAAACTTACTACAACACTTCAATATCCTAATAATAGCAAAATATTAACTTGCAAAATCCTAATAAAATAAATTATTAAACTGCAATATCCTATCCTAATATACAAAAATAATTAAAGAGAAAAAAAACTTAAAGACAAATTATCAAGTGAGTAACTAGTAAAAATAATAAAGTAAAATACAAAAATAAAACACCAATGATTAGATTAAAGAAGTAGTTAAAATGAAGCAAACCAAAACAAAACTGACTATGGAGATAAAAGGGGAGAGATCCCGTTTCTTTTAGAGTACAAAACCCATTATTCTTTTTATCATAAAAAAAAAACATTAACTGATTGTTCCATATATTAATAAGATTAATTGGAAAAAAAAAACAATTATCAAGTAAAAGAGCAGAAGTAGGGCCCAATAGCCCATATCACATAAAAACTCTAATTATAATTAATCAAATTAAATTAAAAAAAAGTGAAAATTTACTTGAAGCAAGGGGAGGCGCCGTGTTGATGCATTTTTTAGAGAGTTATTATTTTTTTTACTTTTTAAAGGTTAACATTAATACCAAGATGATACATTGCTTGTTAATTATTAAAATAAAAAAATATAATGAAATTCAAACCAAGACATCTAATAACGTGCAACAATAGTTTTTCTCGGTAAGTAAGTTTCTCTCCTTTCTCTCTCACATAAAGCTCACAAACCCCTCTTATTTCAAACTCAACACAACACAGATCCATCTTGAAAAGCAACAATAACCATAATCACAAGCAGCTACGACTCAACAAAAAATTATTTCCAAAAAAGAAAAAAAGAAACGTAGCGATGGTGGCGATCTTAGCTAGACCTTGAGTGGTGAACGGAGGTAGAGTTGAAGGCGGAGGTCTGGTCGTGAGGATGTCGTACGAATCTGTAGTATGTCGGTTTGGAGATGGTGATTCATGGGCAGAGGCACGAAGTTCATTAGTAGTGGAGTTTTGGTCGTGATGTTGTTGCGCGGTGGATTTGAGGTCGGTCTTGTGGGTTGTCGGTCGTGCATGGGTTTCCCATGGTGAAGGTGTAGTTAAAGTTGTGAGTTTGTGAGATGAGTGAGGTGTATGACAGCAGCGTGAGGTTTAAAGCTTGAAGAATGGTGTGAGCTTCTAAAGATGTGTTGAGGTTTTTATAGTGAAAGAGAGTTGATGGAGGTGATTGAAGTGGTGAGATTTTTTATGGTTTTCTTTTGCAATTTTCTCTGTAATTTTGTGATTTTCTTCCCTCAGATTTTGTATATCTTTTATGTTCATCAAGAGGACTTTTTATAGAGAAATAACAAAGCATTTAGGGGGAAAACAGTAGAGTTTTTGAACTCTTTTGACGAACTATTTTCATGCTTTGTTCACACAATTTTTCTTTAGCTAATTTGATGCAATTTTGTGGCTGTTTTTGATGTAGATTGGAGCAGACTGTATAGCAGATTACAGCAGATTTTTAACTGTTATGGTTGTTGTTGTTTTTTACTTTTTCACAACACTTTTTGGGACTGTTTTGCTGCTGAAACAGGGCTGGAAAATGGGTTTTTATTTGTTGAAACAAAGCTGGAAAGTATGGGCAGCATTGCAGCATGGTATTGGATTGAAATTGGAGCAAGTTTAAAGCCTTGGAATTAATATCAATAGTTCCAGAATTTACTTTTATGTAACATAAATAGGAACTTGTCTTGAATGCAATTTGGGTATTAATTTGCATGATTTGTAAATGAAACAATGTTACTTGGAACTTTGAAATTGTATATTTTTTGATGCGTCTTACAATGAGAACCTCTGAGTGATATCAGACTTTTATCATTTCGAAATCAATAGACTTGAATTTGGAGCTTTGATCTTTGAATCATGAAGTGAATTATAGAATTTGATTTCACTTTGACTATATTGAACATGATCTCTTGATTTTGAATCTTGAGAGTGATCTTTGGATAAAAGACTTGAAAAATTGATGGACATCTTAATTCCCAAGTAGCATGTAGAATTGATGTGCTTGATGTTTTAATTTGAACATTGACTTGGAACTTCTAAGTTCATGAAAGCAATTATTTCCTTCCATATTTTGAATTATGAATGAACATCTTGTATTTGCTCCTAGAATTCCAAACAAATTAATGAATTGATTTTCAAAATTTAGAAAATTTGCATCATGGGGAATTAGTTCTTTTGTACATCTTGAATCCAAAATAAATCCCGGGAATGAATCGTAGAAAATTTGGACGGAACTTGTAGTTCCTTGCTAACTTGAATTGAAATCCAAAACCATTGTTTAAATCACTTTCACTAAGATCATGGATCAATTTTCAACACGACGGCTTGTATTATAAGCAACATCTTGTTCGAACTCAACATGAATCTTCGAACTCGACATCTTGTTCCATGAGCGATCTCAACACCGTAGTCGATTCTTGGAAGTCAGGAAACAATTATTTGAGATTAGGTCAAAAATCCAGAAAGCAGTCTCTAAAGTATTCGGATTTTTGATGATCTTTCGCACATAATCGGCTCTTAACTTGTAAAGAGGAGTTGGAGATGACGTCAAGGAGAGTCGTACATAAAAAGAACTGTTCAAAAATTTCGAATAATGAAGAAGTTACAATCGTTTGAACTTGATCTTGTAAAAGGTCAAATTTTGGGTCAATGTAGTTCATTTTCAATCATCTGCACCATTGACTGAGCAAACTTGCGACGTGAGGCTTGCAACTTGGCACAAGCATCCTTGAGGAACCATGAAGACCATTTGAAACTTTGAAAACAAATTTTTACTTGAAAATTACTAAACCCTAATTGTTGACTCACTAACTAGGAAGAGAATCTGTCTGATCAACTTTTGAGCCAAATTAAGTATTTGAGAAAACCCTAGGATAGTATCTTGCATAAAAAATGGGAGAGAAAATTTTGGGGTACAACAGTATGAACTCCCGAAATAGGATGGGTTTACCAACAAACTAATTGTAGATTAATACCTGAAACAATACAGGACAACTATCTACATGAGTAGATTTAAGATTAACTCCCGAAACAGGACGGGGAAACTATCTTTCTTTCTCTTTGGTTAGATAAAGATCAATTCCTGAAATAGGACGGGGCGACTATCTTTATCACCGATAGGTATGAATTCACGAAACATGATGAGTTTACAAACAAATTGATTATGGATCAATTCCCGAAACAAGACGGGGCGACTATCTACATGACAAATACTTCCTTTAAGACATCTGTTGTTTTAGTTTAAATCGGCCATTGATTTAACCTAATTTCGTTCCAATACACACTTTCTCTGGTTCAGTTAAATCGCTCTGAAGATTTATACTGATTCGTTATTCACTGAAAGATTAATCAAGACATCTGTTGTTTAAGCATAAGTCGATCAAAGATTTATTCTGACGTTCCTTCCAATCTCTACCTATAGTCACTTTGGATGGCGTCTATAAGACCATCTCCAACGACTCCCTATCATCTTTGGATGGTATCTGTAAGCCCATCTCCGACAAACTTTTCACTATTCTCCAAATGGCATCTATAAGCCCATCTCCAAAAAACTTCATTACTTTCCAAATGGCATCTTTAAGCCTATTCCTGACACAATCAACCAATACATCAACGAGTGCAAATTTTTGGGTAATCTAGTGTTTAATCATCTTTTATCTTCAAGCTACAAACAGTGACAAGTCATTCTCACTTTTCAGGTTTAAGAATATTTAACAAGGGCAGTTGTTGTACCCTAAAATTTTCCCTCCCATTCCTTTAAAATTTTCTTCTAGGGTTTTTCAACTGTTCAAGGTTTCTCAGACTTCCAAACATGTCAATTAATTCTTCAAAGGTTCAAGTTTTTAAGTTCTCGAAGTTTCTCCTGTCTTTTAGTTTTGAGCTAGGGTTTTGACTCTTAAAGGTGTGATGCCTGTTGAGATCAAGGTTCGTGTTTCAATGGTTGCACAATATTAAGGCATGTATTTGAGTTTACCTCGAATTAAGGGTTTTGATTCACGACAGGACGAATTAGGATCGTGATGATTCAAACTCTAGTTTTCATTCACCACTCACTAAGGAAGCATTGCATTGATCTCTAAACTTTGTTTTGTTCTGAGAAATGTGAACCTTATTCAATGTTTCTATGGCTTAGATTCCAATATTGTTTATCGTGGGCAGAGCAAGGATACAAAGTCTTTCATTTCACCAGATAAAATTCTTGGTTTCTTCTTCCACATTTTTCTTTTAAATGCATTACATTTTATTTACATTTACATTTCCTACTTACATTTTATTCTGTATTTTCCATTATTACAAATCATTTTTCAAAACATCATTTTTTTACATTTTTATTCCTCTTTCAATATTATGAATCACATCATATTTATTTTTCTTTTTCAAAACATTACGTTTTTATTTTATTTTACATCTACAATTCTTTTTATAAACTACATCACATTTTCTTTTTATTTCAAAGTCACAACTTACATTATTCTTTTTCAAGATATTATGTTTTTTTCCTTTCAAACATTATAAATTATTTCACATTCATTCAACACATTACACTATTTCAATTTCCAAATTCCAAATGTTTATTATTATTCAAATTTCAAAATTAATTACAAGTCCAAAATAATTTCAAAAAATTACAAATCTTTACAAGATCAACTACATAAGGCATACTACAGTTTTTCTTCTTTTCTATCTTATTTTTTCTATTTCTCTTACAAAACAGCACAAGACGTCTTCATCTTCAAGCGTCTTCAAGAATCTTCAAGCTTCTTGCCATATTCCATTTTGCACATGAAACCAAAAAGAAGTAAGAGTTAGCAATTCAAAAAAAAAGAACAAATTAACAATTTTCATTTCATTATTAGGGTGGTTTATAGAATTAGAAGAAAAAAAGGGTTTTTGTGTGTTGAAGCCTCAAACAATTGAATTTTATCATGGGCCAATATGCTATTGTAAATCACAAATTATTTTGGTTAACAATAGAGGAAAAGATGCAAACAAAATTTCAAGCCCAACAGAATTTCACCTCAAGCCCAAAAGAATGTCAATTCTGCCCAAAAGAAAGCCTCATACATGTTGTTTCACAAAAATCAGAATTTTGCATCATTGGCCTAGAAAATATCACTTCTTTTTGCAAATCACAAAAGTGGATTTTGGTTCATAAAAAAGCAAAAGATAAAGAAGAAATCAGGTTTATCATCACATTTTCACGTAAACAAAAGAAGCCCCATGTTGTTTCACTTCAAAGAAAAGTCAGAGTTCACAAATCAAATCACAGACCTAGGAAGTTTTCACTACAAAATCTCAAACAAATATGTTTAGTTCACAGAAAAAGAGAAAGACCAGAAATTTATCAAAACATCATAGAAAACCAGTACAAAAAGTACCAAAATCTGTACAAAGTCCACAAGCAATTCGTACAAAGTCTGCACAAAAGTACATCATCCGACAAGCAAATTAGTACAACAAGCATCAAAAGCCAGCCTTTATCACAAATAAATAACACAGCCAGCAAGCAAGGTCAAAGGAAAAGTACAATAAAGTTGATTTAAAAGTGACAGAACAAGCTTCCCTCAAAGTCCATATCAGTATCAAAATTTCTAACCAAGAAAAGTCAACAAGTATAAGTTACAGTATAAAAATAGAACATGGTTCACAACAAGAGGAGAGAATTTTTCCAGCCAAGAAAATATACAGAGATACCAAAAACAAATAGTAACAACCACCCACATAACCCTTTCAAATTTTTGTTCCCAAAATATACAAAACATACAGCAAAACCGAAGAAACCCAGCCTTTATTCCATTATAAAATTCCCCAAAAGCATTCACCAATAAACAAACAGAAACAAAACAACACACAAAACCCTAACAATTTTGTTCATCATCATTTTCCAAAACCTAATCCTTCAGAGTTCATAAAAGAGTAAGAGAAGGAAAGATCTCACCAAAATCATATAGAAAAAGTAAATCGGGACCCTTAGGGTTCCGGTCGTCCCCTTTCCGATCTACGCCAAACCATGTAAAATCTGCAAAATTTACTCACGAATTAGTAAAGAGGAGAAAGAAACAAAGTGAAAAATTTAAGAAAATTTAGGTTAGGAGCATCTCCGTCGTTGCCGCCGCCGTGACGTGATTTCCGGTGCAGTGGTTTCTTCTTATCCAACGAAGAAGAGACAAAGAGAACGAGAGAGAGAGAACAAGAGAGAGAGAGAGAAGTTGTTTTCTGTAGAATGAAACAACATTTTACAATATGCTATTTTGTTTTCAGAATGGGCTAAGTCCATTTTTCCTCCAAGCCCAACCTTTTTTTTTCCTCACGCACGCCCCCTTCCTTTGCTATCCACCACCAACTCTTCTGGGCCTTCCTCAAATAACAACACAGGCCCAACTTCCTTCACTCATACACGCACCCCCCTGTTGCTCATAGTACCACACATGGCCAGCATTTTTTTATATTTTCTTTAATCTGTTTACAAAATCCAATTTGGGCCAGGCTTAACCAAAAATTTGTTTTACACAAAAAAGACCCTAAATTCAATTTTTACCCCTGACTTTTTTCTTTTATATTTTATTTTGTTTATTTAAATATTATTATAATTTTTTTTATTAACAAAAATAGACAAAAAAATATTTTATTTTATTTATACTATGTACTTATTTTATTTTTAAGATTAAAAACACCAAAACATTTGTATTACAAAAATTTAATTTCTTTTCTAAT